AAAAAAAAAAAAAAAAGACCAAAAATTTAAAGCGTTTAAAAGAATGTAAAAGGTAAAGCTCATTGTGAGAAGCCTGGGTTCAATCCTAGGAATAAGGAGAAAAAAACAAAAGTGAAGAGTCCAGGACATGGCTGACACCTGCGCCCCCATTCCGGGTGAGCCTCAGACCGTTCACAGGACTTTGGCCACAGGGGACAGCAGCAGCAGCTGGTGCCAGGAACTGACAGGCAGCGGATGATTACCTCCTGAGTGCTGGAACTTTCTTTTGACTCACTGGAAAGGAATGCTGTTGTGTCAAGTGGGTCCAAGCCTTCTACTTCCTTACTGATTTTTCTGCCTGTCTTGTTCCTCCTTGAAGGTTGGGCGTGGAAGCCTTGCTCCCTCTGGCAGAACATCCTTCTGTTGGTGTTTGGTTTGTGTTTTGCTGCTGGCTTGGGTATGTATTGTATGTGATACAGCTCTTAGTGGATAGATCCCTTAATTCATTATAAAACACACTGCTTCAGGTGGATGTGGTGGGCGGTGACTTCTTTTATGGGAAAGTATGTAGGAGGATCCCTGGAATTTGAGGCCAGCCTGGGGCTATATAGTAAGACCCTGTCTCACAGCAAAAAAAAAAAAAAGGGACTCTTCTCCGAAGACTTTTTATTTTGTCTGTTCATTAATTTTATTTATTTTTTTGGCGGAACCAGGGATTGAACCCAGACCCTTGCGCTTGACAGGGAAGTGCTTATTCTACTGAGCCATCTTCCTGGCCCCTCTCTTCATTAATTTTATTTTTTAATGTATTTTTGTGCAAGGTCAATGGGCCCTCACTACATCAGACTCGGTGATTCTCCTGTTTTCAGCCTCCCAAGAGCTGAGATTACAGGCAGGAATCAGTGATTTCTGGTTTACAGCCTCCCAAGAGCTGGGATTACAGCTGTGCCCCACCACACCCAGTCTCAATTACGGCTCAGGGCGCCCCAAGGGCAGGGCTGGCACAGCAGGCCAGGGGATGAACCCCACCCCTGCACCTGTTTGCAGGGCTTTAATCCACTGAGCTATTTGGCCAGCCCTTATCTGCTCTTTTCAGCCCCACCTTACAGTCATTCCCATCATGAGTGTTAGAAGGTGGAGGCTGCCTGCGGCAGGGCCCTGTGAGGAGGAAGCCCCCAGCTGAAGTGGCTTAGTGTGATTCTGGGTGTGGAAGACCCATCCAAGGGAGGACTGTGGCCAGAATGGCATAGAAGGAAAAGGAAGCGGCTGCTTCTGTTGTTCCGGAGGAGCTGCACCTCCGAGGTCACCTCCCAGCTTCCAGCACAAGCCCTCCAGCCGCCTGGCACGGCTTGCATGGGATGAGCTGAGTGGGTGTTTGCGTTTTATTTATTTATTATTGGTGGGACCAGGGATTGAACTCAGGCCCTTACACTTTGCCAGGCAAGCTCTTATTCTACCGTGCTATCTCCCTGCCCCCTGTATTTGGGTTTTTGAGACAGGGTCTTTCTGTAACTCAGGTTGACCTTAAATTGGCAACAGTCCTGCTGCCCCGCCTCCTGGGTGCTGAGATTACAAGGATGTGCCACCATGCCAGGCTCAAGTTGGGTCAGGTTTTAAATCCAGTCTGACATTATCTTTCACCTTGAATGCCATATTTGATGCTTGGGTGGGTTTCTAGCTGCAGTTCTTTTTCTGGCATTTTAATTCCTGATTTTGTTTTTCATGTCGAGTAGCTGCTATGGTAGCACTTTAATTTTATGATATTTTCATTGTTTTTTTGTTTTGTTTCTTTTTTTTTTTCCTCAGCTCAGTGGCATATGCGTCTGCCTGGCAAGTGCAAGGTCCAGAGTTTGGTCCCCAGTGCCACAAAAAAAAAAAAAAGCTTATGATTGCAGAGGGAGGCTGTAAGGTTTTGTGTGTGTCTATCCTTTTGGAACAGTGTCACCATTTAGTTAAGCTGGCCGAGAATTCTCATCCTTCCTCACCCTCCCAAGTGCTGGGATTACAGGCAGACAGTGCATATTTTCCAACGCTAAAAAATACATTGTGTCCAAAGTTTCTGGGGGCCAGGGAGATAGCTCGGGCCAGAGAGATAGCTATGTGGAATAAGCACTTGCCTGGCAAATACAGGGTCCTGAGTTTGATCCCTAGTACCGCAAAAAAATGTCCTTATTCACCTGTTTCTGGAGAGTTTTTTTATTTGTTTTAAGTGCATTTGGTACAGGGTCTCCCTATGCAGCTCAGACTCATAATGATCCTCCTGTTTTCAGCCTCCCCAGCACTAGGGTTACAGTTGTGTGCCACCACGCCCAGTCTTGCAGGCTGGCTCAGCTTCAGCGTGCCCAGGAGTGGGCTGCTGCAGCCTGTAGTGCCAGGGATCAAACCCCGGTCCCTGCACTTGCCTAAGCAGGTGCTCAGTTCATTGAGCTATCTCGTCAGCCCTGGCGAGTTTTTTCATTTGTTGTGTGTTGGCCCACCAAAACCTCCCATAAAGCCGAGTTCAGTCTGATCACAGGGTGGGATTCTCAGCAGCTAGCCTTCCATGTGGCCCACAAGTAGGATGCCCCTCTTCCCCATTCAGCTTTGGCAGGAATCAGATAAAAGAGCAAGTGTTAGAACAGAAAGTGGGAAGACATGTTACAAACGTTTCAGGAGCATTGCCTTTGGCACTGAGGGTGTGTTCGGGCTGTCTGAATTTCCCCCAAGGCCTCAAAGCGGGTGTGTGGTGCTGAGCTCATGGGCGTGTAGCCCTGTGTGATCCCGGGGATGGGCTGGGCCTAGTTCTGGGTGTGAGTAAAGAGAAGGCCTGCCTGGGTGTGGGTGGCACTGCCCACGTGGGGAGAGGCAGCCTGCCTGGATATAAAGGGTCAGGCTGCCCTTGGCTGCTTCACTGCTTGGCTGCCTTCTGCCTGCCAGAATGTGTCTGCGATGATGCCCTGCTTTGGGGTCACCACCTTTGGACTGACACCTCTGCAAACTCTGATCTACAGTAAAGGACCTTTCTTCCTTTAATGTGTGCTGGGTGTTTTGTCCCAGAGATAAGAAAAGGTAAGGCGAGGCAGCTCCACACCCAGCTGTGTACAACCTTGTTTTTAGGGATCTTAACTTGGGTAATCTCCTTTCCTGTCCTTGTACTTCATACTTCATGGTTTTGATTTCCTTTTCTTACACCAGCTGGAATCTTTGGAACGGTGACAGCAGCAGGGCTAATGTTCGTATATTTGGTCAGAAGCTGCATCACAACCCTCAAGATGAAGGGCAGAACCTGGCCTTGGATGCAGGAGACCCTGGGTTTGATTCCCGGCATCAGAACTAAGAGGAAGGGCCAGGGAGATAGCTCAGTAGAATAAGCGCTTGCCTGGCAAGCTCAAAGTCCAGAGTTCAGTGCCCAGTTCTGCCAAAAAGAAGAAAAAAAAAAA